GAGCAACAGCGGTTCGAGTCAGCCCGAGCTGAGCAGCCGTGAGCTGCCAACAGGTGGCGGGATGGCTCAGCTAAAAAAAAAAAAAAAAAAACACATAATAAACATAATTTATTTAAGAATTCTCCTACTGCAGAATTCTAAGTTGTTTATTGTGTTTTTATTATTATAAATAACACTGTGATAAGTATTTTCCTTCATAAATTTTTGCCCACATTACTGATCAGTACCTTCCAGGAGGTTCCTTGAAGTGGAATTACTATGTCAACAGGCATAAATGTTGTCACCAAGGCTCCTGACACTTACTGACAAATCGATTTCCGGAACGACTATACCATCTCCTGGTATGAGAAGCTGGGCAAAGTGAAGGGAAGTGTTCAATTCTGAAGTATTGAATATTTTAAAAAGATTTTCCATTTAGACCAGTGAAAAATGGTTTTTCATTGTTATAAGTTTTAATTCTTTAAAGGATGAATTTTTTTCACATTCGTGAGCTATTTTTCATACTCCAAGACTGCTGTGCATTTTTAATTGAGAAAGTCATTTTTTTCTTATCAAACTTACATTAACTCTTTCTATATTAAGAAAAGTAATCATTTATCTGTCATGTTCATGAAAAATGTTTTTCACCCATTTAGTTACCTTAATTTTGTTTGGGGTTATTTTTATGTATAAAAATTGTGTTTTTTCTTTTTAAATATACTCGTCTATTAATCTCTTCTTTAGTGATTTTTTTCCCATTGCTTTTATAATTATAAAGACCTTCCCCATCCAAACATGAGTCAAATAGTCATCCATTTTCTTCTTTATTATTTTCATATTTTATGTTTTTTCATCCATTACCAACTTACTTTGCTATAAGACATACATCAAACCTGAACTGATTCCTTTTCCCAAAGCGTTCTTTTTCCAGGCACTGCTCACTGAAGGATCTGTGCTGCTGCTTCCGTCATCATATGTGACATTCTTATAAAGACCAGCTTCCCTTCCTGGGCTCCCTTTTCTGTTCTATTGGTCTGTATAACTGTTTACATCAGTCTCCCATTATTATAATGATTTTACCTGTATTAAATGACAGACCCTTAATATTGACAGATCTATTGGGTTGTCGGAGAAGTCGTGACATATTTTTTCTATGTTTTTCATTGCAAAAATGCGTCATGACTTTTCCGACAACCCAATAATATTGATGAACACTCTTCTTTTAAAACTCTTTACTATTCTTGTAGTATTCTTGCAGATAACTACTTAAGAATCATTTTTCCAAGCAATGTTTTAATACCTTGGGATTTTGATGAGAGGTCTGAGTATATGGCGTTTTGAGGCTTACTCCTCTGCTGGCCTATTTTAACTAGGAGCTGTTCTTCCATATGGTCAAATACAATAGCACACACGTGCTCTCCTGTGACTTTTGCCCCCCATCTGAGTCCAGATCTGGCAGAGCAGCTATCTTATCCTTTAGACCAAACCAGTCCTTTCCTATCCTATCATTGTTGCTTCCACATGGGTCCAGATCTCATCCCTGTACACCTGAGCTCCTACATCAACTTCCCACAGGGCTCCTGTCCTCCAGGTGTTCCCTCCCAGAGGCTCCCCTGCATATTGCTACTTCCTCAACCTGTCTTTCCACATATCCTCTCTCAGCATCCTATAATGGCATTATCAAGGCAGACTGGCTTTGTAAACTCATCAAAGTCTGGCTCAAGGTAAGATCTAATGGACCCATGTCAGCAGATGGGATGAAGGGGAAAGAAAAAAAAAAAAGAATGGGGATATAGTGAGCTGTGTATCATATCACAAATAAAATCCTGCTGCAAGGGAGTATATGGGAAATCTCCGTACTTTTCACTCAATTTTGTTGTGAACCTGCTCTAAAAAATGAAGTCTATTAAAACAAAATTCCTACTGCAGCAAACTCTACAGCAATATTTTCAAACTTTTTGGCCTGCTACCCATAATAAGAAATATGTTTATGTTGAATTACAGTACATACACACATATTTGGAACAAAAATCTCCTGAAACACTACCTGCCCTGACATCTAATATTTTCTATTTGCATTCTGATGTTTTTTATTTAATCTTATCATTTCATTTGTTATAAACGATGGTTGCAACCTATAAAATGATTTCACAACACACTAATGGGTCATGAAATACAGTCTGAAAATTGCTGCTCCAAAGGAATCCTTGTGAAATAGTATTATGATAAATATACTGCTTAAAATTAAAATCATAGATCTCATTTGATACTTGCTCTCTCTCTGGTATATTAGCAAAGGAAAATAATTAACTAGATTCCACTAGGGGAAAGCAATGGTTTGTCATACAGTTCCCATCCTTCGTCGTTTTCTTCCTCCAGGGTTCTGGGATCTTTTGTATACATAAAAGTGTGTGTGTGTGTGTGTGTGTGTGTGTGTGTGTGTGTGTGTGTGTGTAGGTAGGACTGACAGAAAGATTTCATATAACTGCAGTGTTTTGGAAGAATACAGAAGGCAAAGGGGGATTGCTTTACAACCAGACAAACTCAAATCTCTTCTTCTCCTGTCCTAAAATACATGATTGATATGAAGTATTTGTTGTTTCTGCTGTTTAATGACAGGTGCATGAAGATTAAATAAAACACGGGTTTATGTCTGTTTTATTTTGTTGAGGGTGGATTAGTTACTATTCACTATAACCAGAATAAAGAAAATCTAGTTACTCTGAACCCTCTTGTTAGGAGGGGTACCAATGGCTGTTACATAATCTTTTTTGTAATGGAATTCTACCATATCTGTATAGGTCTCAATCTGTACTAATCTTAACTCTCTCGGAGAAAGACAGCTGTCACAACAGATAAGACTGAAGGCAGCAGATTTGATGTGTGGTCTTTCTTCCATGATTAACTATACGTGTCAACAGCTGTATAACCAGAGATGAGGCAACCCAGCCTCGGTATTCAAACTAGACCGACCAGATCACGACTGGTTATAGCCAATGCAATAGGAACCAAGTCCTAATCTCTCCCCCACCACCTCTAATTTAATGACAGATCAGAAATGGCTCTGACCAATGAAAGATCACTCACCTATGCAGGTGGGTCGTGGGATCCTCTCACTGACATGAAGGTGCAGTCCTGCCAGCTCTTCCCCATACTCAGTTGAATTAGTCAGGTCAGGCTTGGAATTGGAAACGCCTGCTACAGAGAGAGAGTATATGTGGGCCTAGATGCAAGTGGGGGACTGGGGACCAACGTGTTTTTCAAAGGAGTACCCTGAGTGTGAAAGGAAATAGGAAAGTTCTGGAGAGCCCTTAAGGTAACTCATTATGTGGAGGTTCTAAAATACCAGCACTCACAAAGCAACCAGCATGTATGGTTATCTTCTTTTCACAAAAAGCAGAGTCTGGGCAGACCGGTGTGAGGGTCACGATGAAGACCTCTCCAGTGGTCGGCTGAGACAGTGTGGTTTAGTGTTAAAGAGCGTGCACAGCCAGCCACAACTGAGTTCCACTGTAACTCAGCACCTGTGAGCTATGTAACAGCGAGCAAGTGACTTAATCTGACACTCACTTCATCATCTTAAGAATGGGAATACCATCACCCATGTCACAGACTAAAAGAGTTACTGTATGCAGTGCACCCACGACAGTTCGGATGCACAGAATACTTTCAATACAAGGAAGTGCTAACTGTAACTCGGCCATCTCCAACTCACCCCAGTTCCCAATGGTGTCTCTAATCATTTTCTCCACCCAGAGAACCTCAAGTTGAGCAGCTGTACTAGGAGTACATGGAAAATGCTTAACAGTCTTCCCACCTCCTTCCATCAGGCTAACCCATTCCCTCACCTCCAGAGACCATTTTCCCGTAGGTTTCCAGCATGAGATCCCAGTATTGCTCCTTCTGAGTGGAATCCAGGTGCCTCCACTGCTCCTAGGAGAAACACAAGGCTGTGAGTCCAAAGAAGGCTTCTGAAGCCTGCCTTCCCTGCTCAAAGGAGGTTGAGAAGACAGGAATGCCTCAGGATCCCGGCCATCAGAGAAAGTAAGGAATCGTGGGAGGTGCTCAAAAGAAAAGGCCAAGGGAAACCACAGTCCCCACATCAGTATGTCTTGCCCTGGTTAGAAAGCATTGAGGTTTTAGGGTCTGTATTTTTTTTAAGTTGCATGTCTTTAAGAGGAGAACAGAGAGAGAAGGCAGGAGCCCTTTCTGTACTGTCCTCTTCTTTAACTCTTCCAGTCCTTACGTAGAGGTCCTTGAACAGTAGGCACGTGATAGTCCCAACATTTCATTAAAATCTGGAAATTCAAGAGGGAAAAGAAAGAAATTAAAAAGGTATCTGTTGGGAAAGCAACAGCAAATCAGCGAAAAAGTGGGAAGAATCACCAATGAAGTCAACCAAGTTGTAAGTCTCACTGTGAAACATTAAATTCAGAGGAGAGAGGTGCTACAGCCATACACACTTGGAATCTCCTGGTAGCTCTGAGTTTAGGGCCTAACATTTGAGCAGTTTCCTCCCAGTGAGAGGGAAATCAGTGGGTCCTCTAGAGCAAGGCGTCCCTCCGTTACCCCCAAAACACACCTTTCTTATCTTATGGAACTGGAGACTCAAAACTGAGAATGCCATCTAAGTAGGGTCTACTTCATGAGTTCAAATTTCAATCTCCCCTCCAAGAAGACAACTGTTAGAAACTCAGTTTGTACAGCAGAGTGATTACAGTCTGGAGTCAGACATACTGAGTTTCAAATCCCAGTTCTGCCACTTTCTAGCTGTGTGATCTGGAGCAAGTTACTGAACCTTTCTGGGCCTTGGTCCACACTTAATGATAGTACTGAACTCAGAAATTGTTGGGAGGCTTAACGGAAATAATGCAAGTGTCACCTGTGTTCATAGCACTGTGTACTTTTCATTCATAGCATTCATCACAGTTTATTGAATATTTATGTACATGCATATGACAGAATACCCAACCTTTTTTATATACAGAGTATTAAATATAAGAGTATTTAATTAATAGTTGGTTCTACTAGCACAGGAGCACCATGAGAAATGGACTCTCCACTGTGCTCTTCCAGTCCCCAAGGCCCCACCCAGGACAGAGCAGTCCCTCGGTGTATGGTGCCTGGGTGAAATACACAGCTCTCAGCAGTACGTCCTCAGGAGGTGACGCATATTATCATTACTATCATATGTAGCGTATGGGATAGTCCATCTCCCAGACTCACCCTGAGGGTTTGCTGAGAGAATTAAGGGATTCTGTATGCTTCCAGAAACGCCCAAAGTTGATAGTCATGGATTATTATCATAAATAGCCAGGATATAGGGAGCAGAAAAGAGGAAAAGAATGAGAAGATGAAGTCAACTTCCTATTACAAATAAACTACTCAGAGAAGCCGTTCTCAGTCCCACCACATCAGAGGGAAGTGGAAATTGTTGAAAGAGAATGGAAACACCAAAAAGTCTTTAACTAGCAGATATTAAGCAAAAAAAAAATAAAAAGAAAACAAAGGATAGGAGGAGTTGAATTTTTTAGGGTGAAAAAAGTGAAAAGATGAAACATGACCTTAATAAATTTAACTACTAACTATAACCACATTTTTAATATAAATTGTAATTTACATTTTTTAAAGTAAGACTTGTCAGCAGTTTATTGTTAATTTTCTGTGAATGAAGCTACCTTAACAACCTCCTGAAAGTAACCAGCTTGAGCAAACCCTGCTGAATATAGGAGTTCTTGGCCTTCAGTGTCAGAACACAGACCCCTGGTCTGGCCCTGGCAGGGAAAAGGATGGGAATGCCAAGCACTGAAATGTGATTGGCTGCCTGGCTTGCTGGGTACGGGGCCTATTCCGTGGGCACCACAGTAGTAGCTGCCAAGTACAGTAGAAGGCAAAAAAGAACACAGCCACCAAAATCCCCAATGGCCACAATCAGCCCTTTCCAAAAACAGAAAAATGCTTCAGGAGGCTGTAAACAGTGTGCCTCCAGCTTAAAGCCACAAACTTCCTCAAGGAACCGCCAAGCCACTAGGGATGCTTGAATAAAACCCTTACTTAAGAGGCAAGATGCCAAGTGCAGCCATCTTGCTTTTTCTCATTTTTATAAGAGGAGGTAAAATCTAAATTCCTGTTCTGGAAGGGAGGGCAAAATACAAGATTTGATGGGGAAATCAGCTGTTTTGTATGGCAACAGCACCATCTTGTGGGTTTGTGAAGCATTACCACAGCCGACTTGCACAAAGGGTTCTTTGTACTGCATTCCTTTCCTGAAATTTTAAAACACAGGAATGTGAGTAAATGCATCCCGAGTCTATGTGGGGTTCTAATTCAGTCCCAGTTTCTAACAATTAAGTGCCACTGTGTGGGATGCTACTTCATTATTCTGGCATTATTCACCATATTCCTAACTTATGGAAGAGATTAGGGGAAGCAATGATATTTTTTAAATCCCTTCACTTACAAAGGATTCCATTAAATTTCAATGTCCTGATGCAAATAGCTGTTCATAGTTTGGGGGAGGGATACTGGGACTGGGTAGGGATGAGTTTTGCTTGTTGGGCTCAGTGGCTGTTACTCAGTTGTCTGCGACATAGAGGGGATTTTACACACACACACACACACACACACACACACACACACACACACACACACACGGTGCTTCTGGTGAGCGCTTCTGGTGAGCATTTCGAATCTTTTCACTTTAAGCTATCCAGAACAGGTCATGGTAAATGTCAGTATGTTATGTAGAGATAATGTTTAACTCTACTAGTTAAAATTTGTTAATAAAGCCGGTTGACTCCCGCATGGGATGGTTGCTATGCCCACCTGCAACTAACACTGAACTCGGCACCTTGAGCTGAGCTGCTGCCTGGATGGCTCAGTGGATAGAGCGTGTGCTCTTAACAACAAGGCTGCTGGTTTGACTCCCGCATGGGATGGTGGCTACACCCACCCACAACTAAGATTGAACTCAGCACCTTGAGCTTAGAGGCCACGAGCTGCCAACGGGAAGCCAGATGGCGACTGGCGTCCTCCACAACGAAGATTGAAGAACAACAACTTGGCTGGTCCCCTTTCCCAATTCCCCAACACTGTTCCCCTCCCCCAATTCCCCAATTAAAAAAAAATGTTAATAAATTGTATATGCCTTTCATAGGAATACTCTGTACTTACTACAGAAGCAACAATAATCCTCCAAGTCTGCTTGAAATATTTGAAAGAATACACAATCTTTTTCATCAAATAACTTCCTGCCTAACAGCTTCCTTTCTGGGTCCCTTGAAAGCAGGAAGGGCACACTTGAGTCACTGAAAAGGTATCTCCCCTTGCCCCCTCCCCATCCCTCTGCCTGGGATAAACTACCAATTGGGTATTCTGGTTTCTAAATCTTTGAGCCTGGAAAGCTGGAGCTCAGACCTGGTCATTAATACCACCTACTGGCTTCACTATCTTCACCTGTACTTTAAATTACCTCACAAGGCATGTCCTAAAAAGCGGACTCCAAAGCTTTGAAACAATGTTTTGATTAGGTGTACAGGTTCCTGAAAATCTTGATTTTTAACAAATGCAACCTTTCAGAGCTGTTAACTACATAATCAAGATGAACCTGTCCCACAGATGTTTGTATACAGACAAGATGGAATAACAGGGACTGACTTACCTTCCTGCCCCAAAACAAATAAAAAAGGGAACAAAATAAATGAAACAATGGTTTGCAGATATTGCCTGTTAGGCAGAGCAGAGCAGAGATCCCTGAAAGCAGAGAAACAAATTAAGGGAATCCTACAGTTACCCACATCTACTACTGGAGAGAGCATCCAGAGCAGCACAGGGAGGGGAATCCTGGCAGAGCCAGGCAGCCCCCGAATTGAGCAGAAGGAACTGAGCTCTGAGTCTGGGAAGCCAAGGGAGCTACAGTCAGCAGGGCGGAAGCCCAGAAGGGAGGAGCTGCACCAAGAGAGCTCCAGAGATCTGCAGAGGGTCCTACTCAAATCCAGGAAAGAGCCACGCAGAAGCAGCCGAGGGAATAATCCCCTGAGGTTGCACAGTGCTAGAAATACTTCATTACTTCCAGCAGCCAGAGTGGAAAACCTTGTATATCTGGAAACATCAGGAAGAGTACTCAGAAGGGTATTGCTTTTGTAGTGGGGAAAAATTAGCCCTAGACGAGCGGCTTCTCTGGTGCCGTGTAACACACAGTGTCCAAGTAACTTACAGACATCCCAGAGTACAGCTCAAAAACATTTAGAGGAATGCAAAAATATTATATCAAGCGCCTAGCAAGGTAAATGTCACAATGTCTGACATGCAATTAAAAATTACCAGGCATAAAAAGAGGCAAGAAAATGCAACTCAAAATGAGACTGAATCATCCACCAAAACTGACACCAAAACTGATAAATTAGGAGATAAAGACATTAGTACAAGTATTATAACCATATTCCATATGTTCAAGAAGCTGGAGGAAAGATTGAAAACATTAATACAGATATGAAAGATATAATAAAGCTCCAATTCAAACTTTGAGATAAAATACATACGAGATGAAAAATATGCTAGATGGATTAAAAGCAGATTAGAAACTGCAGAAGAAAAGATTCATTAACTTGAAGACATAAAAATACAAACTATCCACAATGAAACAAAAAAAGAGAAAGAAAAGAGCATCAGTAAGCTGTGGGACAACTTGAAGAGAGCTAATATATTAATATGTATACACATTATCATTATACAAATCCCATATGGATATTATTCTGAGTCCTCAAAGAAGTGAAGGAGGAGAAACAGAAAAAAAATAAATAGCTAAAATTTTTCCAAATTTGATGAAAACTAGAAACTCACAGGTCCAAGATGTTCAATGAAACATGAAGAAAATTACTCCAAGGCACATCACATACCAATTGTTTAAAACCAGTGAGAAAATATTAAAAGCAAGAGAGATACATTATATATAGAACAAAGATAGTATATATGGCATAATTCCATTTTATATAAAATTCTAGTAAATGAAAACTAATGTATGGTGACAGAAAAGCAGATCAGGAGTTGCCTCAGGATTGGGGGAGTGTAAAGCAGCAGGAGGAAACTTCTGGGGGTAACATGTTTATCTTGATTGTGGTCATGGTTTCATGTTTGCATATATGTCAAACAATGTACCAAACTGTACACTTTAAATATGTGCAGTGTATTGTTTGTCAATTATACCTCCATAAAGTTGGTGGGCAGGGCAGAGGGGAGGTTAACCTGTTCCACATTAGATACGAGCATTCAAAATCTCAAACCGACTCCGGTGTGAGAGGCCTAGACAAAAAAATGAAATAGTCTTTTCACAGCATAACCCAAAGATAATAAAAATGGAGAGAGAGACAAGATCGTCTGTTCCCAGCAACTTCTTCCAGGGCCCAGATCCCATTACTCAACATGACAAGTAGGAAACATTGTGCTTTAAGAAAAATATTGCAACTCAGGCTTCGTCCCCCAGGTTTCCCCTTGCTAGGCCTTCCTTTCTACTCCACTTCCGAGAAGCCTTCCTCTTCCGATCCTCCTCACTGCTGACCCACCCTCCAAGCCTGGTTCGGGGGTAAGAGAAGCAGCGCAACCCAGCTCACCTGAGGTGCTGTTTGGAGGAGTGAGGCTCCGAAGTCCTGGTCTCCGATGAGCCTTTCCTCAGACTGGGCAGGAAGCTGAGAAGCAGCCACTGCTGAAGTGAGAAACAGGAAGTTTGAAGAACTAGATGTCCTCCTCAACCAGTCCCCCGAGGGTACGGATAAAAATCTTCACAAGTTAAAACTGATACCTGTTTCGCCATCCGTTATTTCAAGACCCATAGTCACCTCCCTAACAAACTGCAACTCCCTCCAACCTTCCAGTCTCACCTATATTCTCACCCACCTCCTTTCTCAAAACTGAAATCTAAAAGGTCTGGCCCCATCATAAAGTGGTTTAAATTACAGGCTTTGGATCTCCAAATCAGGGTGATTCATGTAGATTTACCCTGTTTCTAGAGATACCCCAATCTGGGCAGTGTTATCATTTTCAACGCCCTCTTTTGCCTACTCACCACAATCCCCAAGTTCCTCTAAGAGCCCCACACACCACCATGAATAACTGTCCCACCTAATTCTTGCTCTGTGTCAGACTCCTCTTTCACGGTGTGGCCCAGTGGCTCCTCCGGCCCGGAGGGTGAATTCTGAAGTCCCAGCTCCTGAGGCATCACTTCAAGACGGGACTCCACTTCCCCCACATGGCAGCTGGCAGATTCCACCTTCTCGGATAAGATGTCCTGTCCTAGAACTTGGATGCTGATCTAGAGACCACATAGTACTAATTACTGCAAGATCCAGAGTGAGGGTTTCTAAGCTACAAAGTGAACCTTCTATAACAGATCACAAGACAGTTCTTAGGGACATGGAGTAGGGAAAGAGAAATACAGCTTCTATGTCTAGTCCAGCAGGATCCAGTGAGGGGCCAAAAGCTGAGGCCTGAACCAGGGCTAGGCCACCTTCGAGAAATGCCACTAATACTGTGTTTCTACTGAATAGTGTCCACCAGTTAAAACTCAGGCATCTTTTGAATGACTTCTCCAGCGTTCTAAAGATGGAATGGGATGGGAGGCTTTATCTTCAATCCCTAATGGCTAAAAAGTGTTCAGAGTCCCAGGGCATCTGAGAATTAGGTGAGGTATACGATACACTGATGTGGTAATAATAAGAAATAGATATTTGATCTTTGTCCCAGGTTCCTGGCACAGAGCTCCTAAAAGCCTTGAAATTACCAGATGGATGGGAGTGAGAGGAGCGACTTTTGTTATGCATGAGCCCCTTGCAACCATACCTGAGTTTATGCTAATGAGGTGACTCTTGGGCCCCTAAATAGCCTCAGGATGAGGGCTGATCACAGAGGAACCAATCAGGTGATTAGAGGGTTAGAAATTTCAGCCCCACTGCTCAACCTCTGGGAAAGGGACAGGGCTGGAAATTTTCAATCACCACCGGCCAACGTCTAAGCAATAAAACCTCCATGAAAACCCCTAAAGTATGGGGTTTGGGGAGCCTCCGAGTCAGCGAACAATAGAAGTGGACGGCATGGAGCGGGCATGGCAGCCCTGTGCAACCCCGTCTCCTCCGTTTGGTTGGTCCTGAGTCATATCCTTCATGATAAACTGGTAAATGTAAGTCAAGTGTTCCCTGGCGTTCTATGATCCGTTCTAGCAAATTAAGGAGAGGGTTGTGGGAACCTCCACATTTATAGCCAGCCGGTCGTAAGTATGGGTGGCCCTTCTGACTTGGGGCTGGTATCTGATCCTGAGCCTGTGGGCTCTGAGCCAACCAGAGGTATTCAGTGTTAGAAGTGAAAACTGTAGGACCCCCGGTTGGCATCAGAGAATTGAGACCTGGTTGTTAGTGTGGAAAACTCCACAGATTTGGTATCAGAAAAAAAGACAATACACCTGAGAAGACCCCAGAGGAGCCCTATGCTTCGCTCACAGATCGGAACACCCTCCCTCTGCTTACCCACTGCCACAGTCTCTGGGGGTCTCCCTTCAAGCTCTCCACAAGCGTCACCGCCTCCTCTCCACTGCCAGGACACTGTTTCCGCACCCACATCTGGATCTCCCCGGGCAGGATGGTCAGGAACTGCTCCAACATAAGGATCTCTAGGATCTGCTCCTTGGTGTGAACCTCTGGCTGCAGCCACTGGAAGCAGAGCTTCCGAAGCTGTCTCAGGGTCTCCTGAGGCCCAGACATCACCTGGTAAGGAAACTGCCGGAACCGCTGGCGTGCAGTCTCGGGGCTGGAGGGCTCCCCTGGAGGGGCAGCATCTGGTCCAGAAAATGGGGAGTCCTCGGCCTTCGCCAGTGGCGGCAGCAGCACTCGGGCCTGCCCCAGCTCAACGGGCATCATCCGGCCTGGCAAGTCCTCTGTGGTGAAGTGCTTATGGGAGGAAGCTGTCTCTGGGGAGGACTAGGTCTTCAGAGCCTCTCACAGGAACACGAGGAAGGGAGTGAGATCGAGTGCTACACAGAAGAAAGGGACACGTTATCAGAAAGAACCAATTCACATGCCCTACCTGAGAGGCCTCAGAGTCAACTGCGGATCTTTTCAAATCCATGCACACACCATTTTGAAAGACCGTAAACATGAAGCCACAAAACAAACCACTAGTACCATATCTAAACTGTCACTATCACCCTGGCCATTTTTCAATACTCCCTCTTGGCCTTCAAATGTCCAGACCAAGTAGAGGAATGAAATGCACCACCTGAACCATTTTCACTACAGTTTCCAGGTAAACAGCTCTTCTGCAAAAACACTTCTATATCTGCATCCATATGCCTATAGACTAAAAACTAAGGTTGAACAAAAACATCAAGGCCCTAGAAATAAAGGCTAATGTTGAAATGATCAGATGCTTCCATAATAAATGAGGTTCAAGAGAACAAATTTACTCCTCCCCATCAGGTGCAATGAAATTTCTAAGTGACCTCTTTTGAGTGCTGTGTTGAAAACTGGGAATTTATGAAAAGCCTGTCACACCTGAAATTTTCAACCTTGGGCTTAAAGAAGGTTTAGAATAAATACTGACTACCTCAAAAACATCCCTACAGACTTGAACCAAGTAATCACTGTTGTATAGTGAATGGTATCAACATAGAAAATAGCAACTAAGACGGCAAAAAGAGAAATATTAAAGGGCAAAGTTAATATTAAGATATTTTAAAAGAATTGTGCACTATATGTAGTTAGCTTTCTTGCATGTAATCCTAATGTTGGATTATTGGGTCAATCTTTAAATGTTATGAAGAAGCTAGAGGTCACCACTTCTCTGTAACACTAACCACAACAACCAAAAAACACCCAGTCACTTGGGCATCTGGCTTAATGAGAGATCAGTACAACACTAGCTTTTCATAGCTGCTTTTACCTTGAGGTATAAGAAGCAATGTCCTCCTCTCCCTACCACTTCACCCAAACATTTCCTCCTATATCACAAAATCATTAAAAAAAAAATTCTCAAGGTACAAAAAAGGAAAGAGTGAAGTAAACATATTTCATTCATATATTCATGCAGCAGCAGTGTGCTAAGGTAACATATATTATGTGCTCAATAAATATGTGTTTCAGGAATTCTATTTCTGGTCATGACAGAGTAACTGGTAGTAGAAACTAGTCCATCCATTGTAAACAACTATAAAATTGGTAAAAACTTATAAGGCAACTGTTTTCAAGCATTAGACAACAGACAGGCAAGAATGAAATCCCCGAGAGAAGGAAAACTCAGGAGGTGAGCCCCATGATCACCCTGAATGTCCGCATGGGGGCAATTTCCCAACGATGGTGCAGGAAGCTGGAGCTCAAGCAGAGATCAGTGGTCTCATTAATAAAAACTAAACTGAGGAGGCAGAGATCAGGATTTGCAGCCAAAGAAGTGGCTGGAATCTTAAGAACAGGGCAGTGGAGAGGAGAGCTATCGGGTAGAGGCAGAAGTCTGTGTGGGGTTTCCTGTGAGCCCTTGGCCAAGGGTTAGACTGCTCATTAGCAGGATGAAACTGTGCAAGGTTTAACAGAGAGAAGTTGCTACCAGTTAAGAGCAAAAGAGAGATACAAAAGGCCAATCAGTGATGAGGGGCATGGGAGTTTTTGATCACTGAGTGTGAACTCTGCTTTCATTAACACTCAAGGCATCCTGAAATACCAGAAAGGTCACATGTTGGAGTAAAGACCATGCCCTAGAGTAAGACCTACTCTAAACCTGCCCTGAAAAGCCTACAGCCAAGCCTCAACAAAATCCACAGAGGCAACCCAGTCTGCTGGTCTAGTCTGATCTAGTTAGAACAACTTGGGAAACACCTCGGGCTTTCCAAAGATCTGCCGTAACGAGGCATAAAACCAAGACAACACAAGTCAAAGATGATCTGTCAATACCTGAACTGCCTGCTAGAACAAGTCAACACTCTTCAGAGGAAGATAACAGAATCCTTTGCATCAACAATGTACCATCATAATATCCAGGATGCAATCCAAAATTACTAGACATATAAAGAAATAGGGGGGCTGGCCGAGTGGCTCAGTAGGTTAAGAGTTGGCTTAAGAGCACGAGCTCTGAGCAACAGGGCCACTGGTTCAATTCCCATATGGGCCAGTGACCCTGCGTCCAAGCTGAGCTGTCGTTGAGCTGCCAACAGGTGGCAGGATGGCTCAGCTGGTGTAACAACAAGATTCCCTGTTTGATGGTGGGCTACGCCCACCTGCAACTAAGACTGAACTTGGCACCTTGAGTTGAGCTGCTGCCCGGATGGCTCAGTGGATAGAGCGTGCGCTCTTTACAACAAGGCTTCTGGGTTTGACTCCTGCATGGGATGGTGGCTATGCCCACCCGCTACTAACACTGAACTCGGCACCCTGAGCTGAGCTGCCGCCCGGATGGCTCAGAAGATAGAGCGTGCGCTCTTAACAACAAGGCTGCTGGTTCGACTCCCACATGGGATGGTGGCTATGCCCACCCGCAACTAAGATTGTAACACAGCAACCTGAGCTTAGAGGCCACAGGCTGCCAGATGGCGACTGGCGCCCTCCACAATGAAGATTGAAGAACAACAACAACTTGGCTGGTCCCCTCCCCCAATTCCCCAATAAAATTCTTTAAAAAAAAAAAAAAAAAGAAAAGAAATGGGAAAATATGACTCAAAGTCAAGGGAAAAAGTAGTCAAGAGAAACCAACTCCAAGGTGGCCTGAGGACTTAAAGAAAAAAATAGTCTTAGTGAGAGAAGAGACAAGGACTTCTCACAGAGAAACAGAAATTATAAAAAGAACCAAATGCAAATTCTAGAAAAAGAACCATCAACCCAGAATTCCACATCCAACAAAAACATCTTTCAAAAGGAAAAATTAAAGACATTTTTCAGATAAATACGGTAGAAGAATTTTTCACCAGTGACTTGTACTACAAGAAATGCTAAAGGACATTCTTCCAGTTGAAGAGAAAGAAATGAAGATCTTCAAAAATGGTAAATATATAATGAATAAATATAAAGCACTATGCTTTTATTTTTTTCTAACTTTCCTAAAAGGCAACCGGCTGCTAAAAGCAAAAATAACAGTATAAGTAGAACATAACATAAATAGAAGTAAAAGATATTAAAACAGCACAAAGGAGGGGATAAACGGAATCAATTTGTTGTTAGGTTATTACATTTATGAACTGCTAATTGAGAAACAGGAAGTGGTAACTGAGTGGTGGTGTCAGGTGAAAACTGGGAAGTATGAAGGTCTTAAGTGAGAGGCAGAAAATGAGAAAGGTGAGTTGTGAAGTATACAGTGGTACAATATTAAAGTAGACTCTAAGTGAAAATAAACTTTGATGATCTAAGGATGCCTACTACTAGCTGTAAAAAAGATTACACACTGAGGTACACTTAAAAAGCCAAAAAGGAATACTACAAAACATTCAATAACCCAAAATGTGATAGGAAAGGGTCAAGAGAAGAGTCAAAACCAGAAAGATCAAATGGAAAAAAGACAATATGGTAGACTAACACCAAACCACAGCAATAATTTACATTAAATGTAAATGGACAAAACAAACTATATAGCAGAGATGTCAGATTTAAAAAAGCAAGACCCAACCATATACTGTCTATAAGAGATACTTTACATATAAAGACACAGATAGCTTGGAAATAAAATGGTGAGAAAAAGACATTCTATGCAAACAGCAAGCACATGAAAGATGCTATGGCTATATTAGTATGTGACCAAGAGACTTCAAGACAAAGAGAAAAAGAGGAACATTTCATTATGATAAAGGGGTTAAATCATCCAGAACACAAAACAACCCTAAATGTATATGTACCTAGTATCAGGTCTAAAGGAATAAATCCTCAGTCATAGTTGGAGATTTTAACACCCTTCTCTCAGTAATTGATAGGACAAGTAACCCCCCCCCAAAAAAAAATCAGTAAGGATAGAAAATCTGCATGATACTATCAACCAACTTGATCTAATTGATATTTAAACCCAACAACTGCAGACTACACATTGATTTCAAGTGAACAGGCAACAGTCACCAAAACACAATATGCATAATTAACTTTCAGAAGACTGGAAACTTAAAGTATATATTCTTTGACCACAGTCCAATTAAATTTTAAATTAATAACAATAGGATATCTACAAAATCCCAATATATGGAAACTATTAAATAACAATCTTAAACTATCATCAAATAAAAAAATCACAAAGGAAATTAAAATATATTTTCATATCAAATGATAATGAAAACATTAAAATGTATAGAAAACAGCTAAAGCATTGTATAAACAGAAACATACAGCTTTAAATGTGTTTAAAAAATGAATAAACATACATGCATCCTTCATAAATCTATTTGGCTCCTGGGTTTCAAATGACAGGTAGCAAGATTTCAGATACAAGAGACTGATCAAATAAGTTATTCAAAATTATTTGGTTCCTGAATTAAGATAGCAGTTTAGAAAACATTTAGGGAAAATGACATTTAGGAAACACTATAGATCTTATACAGTATTTCAATCTGATTTAGTAATTATACTCTCACATAATAAGAAAAGTGCCTCATTTATTCAAAATTAAATTACTTTATGGCAGGTTTATATCCCAATGACCTCATAAGAATCTGCTCTTGTTAGAAAAAAAAAATGTAAGTTATCCCAAATGCATAGTTATTTATTAAAGCTATAACAAATTAGAATTTTAAAATGTACATCTAGGTAAGTATACCTACTATACATACATATATTAGTACCTTTTGTGGAGCACCTGCTATTGACAAAGACTCCTAAACCAAACTTTAGTCAAGCTCCTGAGTCCTCTTTTTGACTAGGCCTGGCCCTTGGAACTGTCCTTGGACCTCCTGGTTCAGTTTTATCAAGAATCTTGCTGGGTCGTTTAGGGGAAATCCTCTACCTTTGATATCTGACCAAATTCTACATCCCCAGCCCTTGGTAGCTGACCACCCTCAGTATATGATCAAATTCCTTATTCATCCTGGTCTGCTTTCAGCAAAACTCCTGTCAAGCAGTCTTAACCAGAATGCCCCTTAACCCAGACGTTTCCTTTGAGTAATTTTCCATCCACTGACCCCCACCCTACTCCTTGGCTATAAATCTCCACTTGTCCTCATCGTATTCAATCTCTCTCTATTACTGCAAAACCCCATTGCAGTAAGGACCCCAGAATGAAGTCGGCCTTACTGTCTAACAAGTGTCTGAGTAATGTTTTCTGTAACACTGTGTATCAGGTCCATAATAGACCCTGTTCGTGTCATTTCTAATCCTCATAATTACCCTGCAAGGTCAACATTACAGTTTACAGATCAGAAACCTCTGAGGCTCCCAGGGGCAGCCAAATTCAAACCCAGGAAGCCCTAAGGCCTGCGCTTTGGAGCGCTGCCAACGTTTGGAAATTTGTGGGGGCGGATTGAGGGGCTGTCTCAGTCAGCTCCGGGGAGTTATTGGCATTTAGCGCTCTGGAGGCCAGGGCTGCTCAAGTCCTGCAAGGCGCTGGGCAATGCTGCCCACTGCTGTGTTCTCCATCCTCCGCCCCCAACTACCACGGCCCCCTGGGGAGCGCGACACCGAGCATCAGTCCATCGGGTTCAGTCCAGCCTTTGGGGGAAGACAGGAGGCAGGGGCCCGATTTCGGTCCCAGTCCGGACAGGTGGCTGGAGAGTCCGGCGGGGCCCATAGGCTCCGGGACAGACAGCCAGGTCGGGGTGCAGGGGTTTCCACGACCCCAGAGTCCGCTCACAGCCTTGGCGCCCCTCCCCCGCCACCGCCGCAGCCCCGCCGCCGCTCCCAGGGACCCGGCCGAGTCCAGCGCAACGCGGGCGGCACCAGGCCCAACCCCGCGAGGCCGCGGCCGGGCCCGCCCAGCCCGCGCGCGCTCACCTCGGCCCGCGGCGCCGGCTCTGGGCGCACTTCCGGGAGACCTGCGGCTGCGCAAGCCTCGGGCGGCCGGCGGGAGGCGGGCAGCTACCCGGCTCCAGGGACAGGAGGCGGAGGCAGGGCGAGGGGCGGGGCCGGAACTGGGGCGCGGGCTCCGATTGGCGCGGCGCTTGGCCATTCCGCTGCGCTGGGGCCGCTTTTCCGTCGCTTGCAGCCGGCGGTTCAGTCCTTCGTTCAAGTTTGTGCATTCGTTTATCTCTCACCAAACAGACATTTATTGAGGCATTGGTTTGTTCCAGGCACAGGGCCAAGCATTGCGAGGGCTACAAAGATCATTTCCCTTGTCTACCCCAGACCCCTCTGCCAGCCCCAACCTCGCTCAGCCTTGCTTCTCCGACTCTCACCAGCCCTGCATTTCCTGGGCACTGTACTTCCACCTCTCCCCTTTCAGTGATGGAATTCAGTGGGGTGCCGACCTCTCGTCCCACCTTCGTCTCCCCCCTCCCACCCATCCCCTTGCACTCCAACATGGATGTCATCCTTGCCCCCTCCCTCCCCTCTGCTTCCCTTTCCCACAAGCCAACAGTCGCCAGACCCTGTGGTTTACCTCCTTATCGCTCAGACACCTCTCCCTTTCTCCATTCCCTACCTCTACCTCCTTTCCACATCACTTCTAAGCGACATAATGGCCGCAACCGTCTCTCCAGTTTCTGAGCTTCCAACCTTGCCCATTTCCAGGCCGTCCTGCACTCAACCACACAGTCATCTTGTGGTAGAAATATCACATGTCCAAATCTAGGCGACTGAAGTTATGTGTGTATTATATGTGTTTTCAATCTTGGGCAATTGGCAAACTGGAAAGCATTCAAAAAGGGAGTTGCTAGTATGGCGAAGTGCCCTGTCCCATGTTAGGAGGAACCGGAGATATCTCTTCTTGAAGAAACAAAGCTTTTGAGTAGGGAGGAGGTGGGGATCCTGATATCTTCACATATCTGAAAAACAGACCCAGTAGAAAAGGGATTCAACATGTTCCCTAGCTCCTCAGGCCTGAACAAGATTCACCGTGTGAAACTATTCAGCTTGGCCCCGGTGGAAGTTTCCAAAGTTAACTTGAATAACAATATTGATTTACGAGTACCTTAGCAGAGCATGGGTAACAATTTATCAAGAACATTTAGAGGGACACCTGCAGTGGGTGTTCTTTACAACACCAAAGTGCTTTGCTTCTAAGAAAGTCAACAGGGGCCAGCCAAGTGGTGCGATGGTTAAGAACTGGCTTGGGACGCCAGAGGGCCCCGGTGTGGATCCCACATATGAGGGCCAGTGACACTGCCCTCTACAGCTAAGATGCTGAACAGCAGCTCAACCTGGAGCTGGTCGACAGCTTAGGCTGCAGCCCCTGTGGCAGTGGGTTGCCATGGGCTACCGTGTGTGGCCAGCAGCCAACGTGAGCGGCCAGCAGCCGCAGTGAGCGGTCGTCCAGAAGCCGGCGACTGATCTGCCTCGCCCGGGAAGAGTGCAATGATGGTGCCAACTTGGGCCAGTGAAGCAACGTCCTCCACAACTAGACTGAAGACCAAAACAACAGCAACTTGTCTGTTCCCCTTCCCCAATTCCCCAGCGCTGTTTCCATCCCCCCAATTCCCCAATAAAAATCTTTAAAAAAAAAAAAAAAGAAAAGAAAGTCAACAGATGAGATAGTTTGGAAGGAAAATGGTGGATTTTTATCTTCAACATGGTAGCTTTTAGCTGATCAACATCCAAGGAAGATAACAGTAATTAGAAAGCTTTCACTGGGCCACAGACCCCTTTGTGAATCTGATGGAAGCTATAAATCTTTTCCCAAGGAAAATACACATACACAACTGCATAGAAAATTTTGCACACAAATTTTGGGAGCACACAAACTCACAGAGCACTGAAGCCCTGAAGCCCATCCTTGGAACCTATGAACCTCAGGTCAAGAACTCTAGCACTGGTAGATGTTTCATGATATGGAAGTGACACTTGGCAATTTAATAATGTCTTTATAAACTGGCTACTTGAGATGAAGCATGAAACTTCTCTTCTTTCTCAGCAGACTGAACAATCAAAAAATAATTTTTGAAAGTTGGGAGACATCTACCTCAACTTAGGAAAAAATGGGAAGGTGTCATCTATTTCCATTTATTTATTCATTCATTCAATAAATATGTATCAAATTCCTCCTCTGTGCCAGTACTGTTCCAACAGCTGGGTGTACAACAGTGAACTAAACAGATAAACTCCGTGCCCTCACAGGACTTATATTTTGTGAGAAACCTGGATGATAAATAAATACACAAGTAATAATAAGTATGTTGGGTGAGGATAAATGTTGTGGAGAAAATTAAGTGAATGTAAGGCGAGAGGATAGGTAGTATTACAGAAGAAGTGTAATTTATATAGGATGGTAGGGAAAAGCCAACTGCTAAAACAACCTTGAACCGAGAGTTGAAGAGCAAAGCTTGTGGATATCTGGGGGAGCTTTCCAGGCAGAAGAAATAATAAATGCCCAAGCCCTGAGATAATTCGTGAAAATAAAGAGAAGAGGGGTGAGGGGTGAGCCCTGCGACACACAACCATCTAGGGTCAGGGAGATAAGAAGGGTCCCTCAAAGGAGGAAGAGATGGAGAAGCCATTGAGGTAGGAGGAAAGCGAAGAGAGGGTGATGTCGTGGAAGCCAAGTGCACAAAATGTTCAAAGAAGGAGAAAGGGAGAGCAATCAACTGGATCAAATGCTAGTGATCAAATGTACAATGAGGATGGAGAATTGGCCATTGGTTTTAGCAACAGGGGAATCGTGGGTGACTTTGATGAAAATAGGTGGGAGCAGGAAAAGTCTGAATGGAGCAAATTCAGTAGAAAATAGGAGGAGAAGAATTAAAGCAAAAAACATAGATGAGTCATTCAAATTAGGGGCTATTACAGCATGTTTGTGTGTTAATTGGAATGATACAGTAGAGAAGAAAAATTGTATTGCAAGGAAGGGAAGGGACAACTACTGAACAGTATCCTTGAGCAGAGGAGACGTTAAGTTTTTTTTTTTTAATAACAAGGCTCTTAGGTACTCCTATAATCAAAGCCATGTGGGATGACCACAGAAAACATTCTCCAATGAAGAGGAACTTAAAGTCAAAACTTAAAAGCCACACCTAAAGCAATTCATCAAAAGAGACAGTCATCAGTTACCAAAAAAATGAAAGAACTTGCATCCCAAGAACTGGAGATCATAGAACAATCTGAAAGAGATTTTAAAATAAATATTCTGAGTTGTTCAAATAGGTAAAAGAAAAAGTAGAAACCATAAAACAACAGGACATTATGGACAGGGGGGAGGAGAAAGGGTGGGAAGAACGAAATAAACTGTAGGGCCAAGTATGTTTTTTACAAATTAAAAAAAAGATATTCAGTTTTTAAACTGAGACCCAGAAGGGATGAGTGCCTAACTCAAAGCCATAACGACATTCAGTTACTGATCCTGAATTTGAACTCTATTTTTTTCTGACTCCAAATTCCACGTTCTCTCCCCTCTCTGCTGCATGTTGCCCCGGGAGAGAGCAAGGTAACCAGGATTGTGGGCGACCTACAAAGATAAGACTGAAACTAATACAAGGATGAAATTAAATTGCATGAGATTTTGGTGGGTAGATTAGTTATTTCACCAAAAGTTCTCTGAAACATAGAAGCAGAAATATGAAAAGATATGTTGAACTGAGGGAGAGTTTCAGATTGACTCAAGGTTAAGGAAACGTGGGTATCAGTGGAGGATATCAGTGTGGAAATGCTGATCACATGGATGGGTCAGGGAATGGGAGACCAGAATAGAAACCAGTCCCAATAAATACTCTCCCTCTGCCAGCAAGTTGTGGTTTGTATCCTGTTGACTTCATTAGAGCAAACAGTGATTGAACCCATGGCAGAAGGAAACTGCATTGTCTTCTACGGGCTATTTAGAGAATAGAGAATTAAACAGAATGCTAACTCTGTTTTTCTGGTTAGGAGAAGTCCTAATTTATTACTTGTTTTATGGGGTCTGTCCTGAAGGAGATCTTCAAGATGGTCAAAAGGTTCAGGTGGTCATGTCTTGTAAATGACTTTCCTACAGCGGCTACAGTTGACACAAGAGACCACAAAAGAAGGAACCTGGCTTGAGAAATCCAAGTACTGAAGTTTATACCTTTAAAAAAAATCTGTGGACAAATCTTAATGCTTCTCTAACAAAACCAAATTCCTTCCTGAGGACATAAAATATCTTTAGACAAGGGGTTCTCCATCTGAGGCTTCAGGATTTCAATGACCAACTGCGCTCAATGCAGAGGTTTGTAGGTATGGGGATTTATCTGGAGGGTTCCTCAAATGGATCTGTGGGGAGGTTTTTTTGTGGGTTTATTTGTTTGTTTGTTTGTTTTTAAGTTTAGAAAGCCATTGAATGCTTGGGCAGGCTCCTTTAAACTTCTAAATCCATGGACCTGGAGAGATGAAAAAGAAATCCAGCTCCACCAGTATTGCATAATAACAGGCTGACTGGTCCCCTCATTTGTCGTATGTTGAGTAGACTTGGATCACAGTATGGGAGGTGCCATGAGGGAACAGGAGGAGAAGTTGACAGTGGGTCCCACCTTTTCATTTGCTTTCAACATTGAGACAAATTGAAGTTGACATGTGTTGGATTCAGTGGCTTTATGGATTGCTTTGCCTAGTTTTCACTAAACTAACCCTAACAAAATGAGCACATAGTTTCAAAAGTTTCCTGAAGAGTAATCTCAATTTGAAGGTTACAGTAACAATGCAAGCACAGGTAAACAACAAGAAAATGGCAGAACTACGCTTTTAGTTTGAGCCCTTTTTCAGATACATTGGGAAGTAATGAATGACAACGTAATCGGATCTGGCAGAAAATATTTTCAAATGTTAATAAGTCTACTAGAAATGTACACTTATATCTACTATCATTATGATGAATG